GTTCTCTATAGTCTTGGAGTATTGGGCTGTTGTACACTCTTCCCACCTGGAAAAGCGCTTCTCCTCCTCTCCACTGCATCAGTTTGAGCACGATGCATGTTGACAGCCCATCTCAGAGCATACAGAGCTTTGCTTAGAGCCCGTCTCCTGTCATTACAGCGGGCTTGAGAGAGGAACCTGAGTCTACTGGACCACATTCTCAGACAGCGCAACTGCAGACGAAACCTGTACAGATCCTCACACCTGAATATAACACACAGTGACAATTAAATAAACCGCATCAGTGATGTCAGTAGCACATATATCAGGGCCCAATCTCTAGATGAGCCTCTCAATCCCAATACAAACAGTACATGGGTTCTAAAAGGCTTTTAATTATATACCTGTTAGGCTGAGCCCAGAATTACAGGTACATGTCACAACAAGTTAGATAATTATTGTGACACCAGCTCTGTCAGCAGGGTTTATTACGCTTTCATAAGTACTGGCACTTGACACAGAACTTATATTTTCTTTACCTTTCTTCTATTTTCTTCTCATCAAAGTCATCGTCATGAGCCTTTGGTGCCACATCCAGCTTTACAAACAAAGAGAAATATGCTAAAAATGTGTTCAATAAAGCTTCCTAAAATTAAATATAAGTATATTATCCATTCAAAACACCCTAGTCCAAAAAATCTGGAGTGTGAACATGTTTCCTTATGGAAACCAATCCTAATGGAATCAATTAAGAATCTTTTAAGGGTGGGATCGCACCATTTGAACGGCAAACTTCTTCTGGCATAATGCAAGCACCTTAAAATAAATCTGCGATAGGAAATTTACAACCTAGGCTCATTGGGGTTACGTGCCTGTGGCAACATTTATGCTAAATTATTACGTTGCTTGCACATTTTCGCTACACTATCCAATGAGTGTTGCTAGAGTGCGTTCAGTTGAATGAATGTAAATTTGGCAGCATTTAATTACTTTGGTTGAAATGAAATGTCCGGTGAGTGATATTTTGAAAATAACATAGCGTACCACTTACGCTAAACCCTACCTTAAACCTAACTGATAGTGTTAACAAAAAGCAAACATGAGGTTTGCTCATGCATTTTAGCTTGCTTCTCAGTCTTTCAGCTGTTTTATTGAGACTCATGGTCTCACGCATTGCATGTGTGACACTGTATCAGGTGCGCCACCGAGCAGGTTTACTACGTAGCACCTTAAAATAAATCTGTGCGATAGGAAATTTACAACCTAGGCTCATTGGGGTTACGTGCCTGTGGCAACATTTATGCTAAATTATTACGTTGCTTCTTGCACATTTTCGCTACACTATCCAATGAGTGTTGCTAGAGTGCGTTCAGTTGAATGAATGTAAATTTGGCAGCATTTAATTACTTTGGTTGAAATGAAATGTCCGGTGAGTGATATTTTGAAAATAACATAGCGTACCACTTACGCTAAACCCTACCTTAAACCTAACTGATAGTGTTAACAAAAAGCAAACATGAGGTTTGCTCATGCATTTTAGCTTGCTTCTCAGTCTTTCAGCTGTTTTATTGAGACTCATGGTCTCACGCATTGCATGTGTGACACTGTATCAGGTGCGCCACCGAGCAGGTTTACTACGTCAGAAAAGCTATAGCTACAGAAACATACAGTCAAAATGTATTAGTTTATAAATCACGTGCTATGATAAAAGCGTTTTGAGGTCATAACAGTATTGTGGAAGGAACCACATGTTGTCATAATTTGTGTAAATAGAAGTATATCTATTTGTCATCTTCAACAACTGCCCCTACTGCCAACTACTACCGCAGTTCTCCACAAAGACATTATTTCAGTACAATACCAGTAACTAGAATTCTAATAAAGATGACAAAATATCCAGTTGAACTGGAGAAATCAAATTAGAATCCAAAATAGAGCTACAGTACATTCTAAACAAAAATGGAGCACTGAAAGTGGTTTACTGGCTCGTAATCATAGGGGAACCACTTACACAGCACCTTTGTCAAATGGGGTCGCTGTGATTTTGCCAAGTAAGACATGTTCCTGGATCAACATCTTTTGTTGATCCTGGATCAACATTACTGTCCAAAAATACAGACTTAACCCAATCCCTGCCCCTAAACCTACCCATAATTTATTCCTAAAATCAGTGGGAAATGATAGCTGATTAACAAGGGTGTAGAAGCACCTAACCCTGATCGTAAGCCTAAAACAGATATGTCCTGAAAAGTTATCCCTCGATTCTGATTGGTTAATTGGAATGTTGTTCCAGGATCAACAAGGATGTTGATCCAGGAACATGTTGTACTTGGTGAAATCACGGTCACCGTCAAATGGTGCGATGTAGAACCATAAGATGAACCCCATTCTTCTCCTTAGACTGTGGATATGTTACTCCACTCTCATGTTTGCTATGAATGGGAATTGACTACAAAGGCAAAAGCTGTTTTGAATCACTTTTATGCTTTTCTGAGGTCAAAAAGTCTTGTGTGGGGGCCCTGGAATATATTCTTATAGGTGGGCCTTAGGGGCAAAAAGGTTGAGAACCATGCTATCTTCAGGAAATGCACTGTATTTCAATACTGATGTTTTTAAATCCTTTCCAAAACTAAACTAAGAGAGTTATGCGTGTGTATGATTTTGTTTGATTGTTAAGGCATGGTCACATTGGCACAACTCATGCGGTCTGGTGTACAAGAGTATCTGATAAAGTTGAAAAATATCAAGCTAGAATGCAAAACATACAGTTGGATCTTATTTAATTCTTCTGATGTGGTCGCATTAAAATAAATTAAATGTATTATAATATAATCATTTTCTATTTATTTATGAAAGAATTTCACCTCAATAATTACAATTCGATTCCTGATTCGACTTTATTAGATTTTTTTTTTCTTTGGTGGAATTTTCAACCTGGGCTCATTGGGAAAAAGGTAAGGCTTGCTCTACTGTTTTTTAGCAAATCTCCAAACACATACCTATAATTAACTATAAGGAAATCACAAAGTGGGTTATACGAGTATTAAATCTTTTTCCCCAATGAGCAATTATATGTCTGTTAGAAACTTGTTTAAACAGTAATGCATGCTCCTCTAAGAGAAACTCTTTGTGTTGTTTGCAAACGGTCAGTGTAAATCTCTGTAGGCTTGTCAAAAGCCCATTTGTTGCCATCAGGCCTCATGTCTCTGACAAAATCTTCATTTTCCCGATTCATTTGATGATTTGCTGTGTATAGAAATATTGGGGATGTAACTAGTGCCCAATCTTGTATTACAGCACCGAAACGGCTCTTTTCTTGGTTGTCTTTTGATACTTCGCCTTCAGAAACAACAGGTACAGCTAGAGAGGAAACCACTGAGGTGGATTCAGATACTGACATTCAACAAAATAGACTGCATGTTCACTTGTGCTGAAGTGTAGCATCGAGCAATGCAAGTTTGCAGACATCCACGAGGACTCGAGAAGCTCATGAAAGGTAGAGGACTAAAGCCTTTCATCTTGTCTTTGAAAAGCCAGTGCATCCTTATGGGCTTTATAAGCAATGTCTGCAGAGTTAAAGCAGGTCGGCTGACTCTCTCTCTTTGAAATTGAGGATAATGAGGAATCCTCAGTAAAATCCCTCTCTGGGGTTTTCCATTGCACACACTTGCGCTCGGCTGCCGTATTACAACATCTGAGGGCTGTAGCATCACTTGGTCTCGTAGCTCTCTTGGCATTTTTTGAGCCACTTGCGGTGTCTGAAGCCGAATAAATGCTCTTGTTCCACATATGGTGTGGTGAGGAAGATCAAAAATGCAGTCTGTTTCTCTTGAAGAGTGTTTGCTGAACGAAGGGCTCAGAAACAATAGCGAGCAGGCAGGGAAGTCTGCTCAGCGGGGTGCTCTTGTATGAGGTTGTACCGTCTTTTGGAGCATATGGAGGCTCATCTGTGTTTTCCTCAGGCAACAGCATGTTGCTTGTTAGTCATATTTTGCCATCTCAATACAACCTCTCAGGTATCATTTAAAAAAACAAGGTCTCATTCCATCAGCTTAATAAAATATTGAGGCTTAACCATGCATTCAAATGCTCAATTATCCCCCGATATTATCATTTAAATGTCAAGTGATAAATAATTTGTATGCCTACATTTGGATAATGCAGTAGCAATTTTGTGTTCGTTAGGCTACAGACGTACAATATTTACAAAAAATCACATTCTCAGGGGCATCTTGTTATATTTGCTAATGCCTTCATTTTGTCATCTTCAGTTAATGATCTGTACAAAATGTGGAGGAAACCTTCAAACTGCAGAACACAGGTTGTGTGAGCTAAGAAGATTACAACCAGATTACTGTACAACCAACCCGCTGGGAGGAGCCGGTGAATTAACTAAGCTGTCAGATGACCTTTTAAAACTTAAAAAAAAAAGGAAATTCGGAGTAGTGTTTGCTCCTGTACAATTCAAAGACCGTCTTGATCAGGTTAGACACCCTATTGAATTTAATGCAGATTAAAACAAAGCTGTATAAGGGTGCTAAATCATGTCATTTTCATAACTCATAACTTTCAGTTTTATGGAGATGTCTATTTTTTTTTGGTTCCAGAATGAGGTTTTGTCTCGTCAACAGGGTAAAGTTTTATGTACATTACTGTAGTTTGCTGATAAATGGAGTGTTCTTTCTCTACAGTGATCAGACTTAAGATTTTGGTAACACTTTATTTTAAGGACCAATTCTCACTATTAAGTAGCTGCTTATTAGCATGCATATTACTAGCATATTGGCTGCTTATTAGTATTATAAAGCACATATTAATGCCTTATTCTGCGTGAGCAGTATAATAAAATATGGTAAAAAAATATGATAAATATGATTTAAAAAAACAATATAGACTTACATTGAAGGAGTCTAGAGATGTGTGAAGCAATACAAACACCAATTTATGTGAAAATATTACAATCTTCGTTTATTTGATTAATGTTACTATTACCATAATCTGCATAATCAACAAATTTAATTACAAAACAAATTACAGGAAGAAATGTGTATTGTCCTTTCCACGTCATGCCATCGTTAAACACTAACGCAAACAGAGTTCAATTCTCTTAGTCTTGATCAACCCACGGCCTACTTGTAGTTTCTCAGGAAAACCAATCTGTGAGGCTGGAACTTCTCTCGACACAGCGGGCATTCGGTCTACAATAAGAGCAACAGAGAAGACGACTGATCAGACATCAGTAATGCTGAACTTTACACCACTGCATTACGTTATATAAAGGTCTTGCCTTGGTATTGCACCACTCAGTAATGCACTCCCAGCAAAAGAGATGACCACAGGGAGTGCTGCTGGTGTTCCTGCGCTCCTCCAAACACAAGACACAGCGCGAGGAGCGAGACGACGACTGGCTGACCTGACGACTGAAAGGAAAAAACAGAGAAAGCTGAATAATAGAGGATAAATCCAGAGGATTATGAAACCTCCCCTTATAATGATATTACAAGTATTGCCACAAAACGACTGCAAAAAAAAAACATCCAAATGCAATATTTGAATCCATTCTGGTTTCATATTTTCTTTTTTCTTTCTTAACATATTTATACCATTTATCTATAAATAATTATACCATTTTTACTTTAATGACTCAAAATTGTGACAAAGTGATGCAACCATCAAGTAAAAGTGGCAAACTTCAAACAATTTTCACGTTTTTTGGGGGCAGGTTTACCATTTAATACCTTGAATTAACCCACCATGTTATAAAAAATAAAAAAAAGTTGCAATATCTTATATTTGTTTATAAACCTACTTATGATAGTGATTAAGGGTCCTCTCTATGAAATAATTTATTGGTAACACTTTATTTTAGGGTTTCTTAACTAGTTGCTTATTAGCATGCATATTACTAGAATATATTAGCCATTTATTAGTAGTAATTAAGCACATATTAATGCCTTATTCTGTATGACCATATTCTACATCCCTAATCCTACCTAATACCTAAACTTAACAACTACCTTACTAACTATTAATAATCAGCATATTAGGAATTTATTGAGGGAAAATTCTTAGTTAATAGTGAATAAGTGTTCCCTATTCTAAAGTGTTACCATTTCTTTTCTTTTTTTTTTATTTGTGTCCCACAAAAATAAATAAATATAAATAAAGGCTATTTGCACTAAGTGAAAATTGCAAAAGATGCTATATACACTAAGTGTAAATAGCGATAGATTCTATTTACACTGTGCAAAAATAGCAGTATTTTCTGCCATTTATACTACTTATTGTAAATAGTGGCAATTATCTGCGCTTCATTATTGTAGTACATTAAAAATAGTATGCAATAATAATGTATTGAGTGTAAATTATCATTTTTATTATAATTACTAAATGGATGCCTCCTTATTTGGATAATAAAGCCCTACCTTCATCTACCCTAACTAGGGCTGTCAATTTTTTTTTTTTTTTCGAATTTAAAATATTCGTCGAATTTAAAATAATCCACATTCGAATGCAAAAACGTTGCATTCGAATTTTAGGTGCGCGTCAGGCTGCCTTATCAGTGGCGCACGAGATGCGATGACGAAGTAAGTGTCAAAGTAATTTTTGTTAGCCTATCCAGCTGAAGCCATTAGATGTGGCACTGCTGCGTTGTTCATTCAAAATATTGTGGAAAAATGGAACATCAATTCAGAGATGTTGTTGTTTACGTCAAAACTGAAACCAAGCCGTTCACACAGAACGCATGTTTCGCGCATTTTCTAGAGCAGTGTTTCTCAACCAGGGGTCCGTGGACCCCTAGTGGTCCTTGACGTAAGGCCAGGGGTTCCGAATAAAGTATGAATTTTTGTATAAATGCTGTATATTTTGACATGACATGTTCCCATGAAAGAAAAATCCAATATAGCTGATGATATGACCAAATACTGGACAAGTCAACTAACTTGAATTATACTTGACTGCATTTGGTCCTCACAAAGACACAAATGATACATAGATGAGTAAATTTTTTTCTGGGGGTCCTTGGGGATGGTTCTGAATTGGACTGGGGTCCGGTACGCCAAAAGGTTGAGATTCACTGTTCTAGAGGGACATCTATCACCGTTGCACTCGCGTCTCGCACAAGAGAGCTAACCCGAGTTAGAATTCGCCTTTTGCCGAACTCATTCTTCTCCCTTTTCACATCTCTTATCACATCGGAAAGGCATATATTTTCAATAAAAATGAAGAAAATAATCGAAAAGTTGAAAATAAAGTATCGGGTAGGATTAGGGCTATCTACGCCACTAAAGCCATCGATTAGCAGCCTTCTTTTGTAATGTTGTCCAGTCCAACCACACGCTCGTGGGCGGAGTTAATGTAAATAGCCTCAGCCAACAAGGTGGGCTATTTGCATTTAGTGTAAACAGACTCTACGATAAATAAATAAATATAAATAAATACATATGGGTAGTTGACAAATAGGCAGTAAAAAATGCTTATTTTGTAAAATACCATTTTTGAATAGGAAATGCATATATTTATGTAGTGTGAAGTCTGAACTTGTATAAAGGGTCCAATTAGAATCCAAAATAGAGGTACAGTACATTCTAAACAAAAATGGTGCACTGAAAGTGGTTTACTGGCTCGTAATCATAGTGGAACCACTTTTTGTACTACACAGCACCTTTGTCAAATGGTGCGATGTAGAACCACTAGGTCTAGGTCTGTAGGGTCACTAACTTAGTCAATTCTTTCATTGTTTTTTTAGTTTTTTTTTTTACATTTTTACTGAACTGTAATGTAAATTTGTCCTTTAGTGTGACAGCAAAATTAAGGGGGAAAAAAAAACTCTTAATATATAAATAGCATGAGAGATGTATCTTCATTGTTAGACACTTATTTTCATATAGTGTTATTTATTTAATATGAAATTATAATTAACATAATTTTTTCCCCCTTGACTTGTTGGACAATTTCAAGACAAACTTTGACAAGAAGACAAACTTTGCTGTCATCCATTCAAAACTGCTGAAAATTATACCATTTTAAGTTGGAATATTTGTATGTCCCCTATTTCAATACTTAACTGTTTTTTTTTTAGATAAAAACAAATCTGTGGTTCTTTCATGTGTGTCACACCATAGGACATTACGTCACACTAAAGGACAGAAATGGTAGTTATTAAAATATTTCTATTTAATTTTGAACATGTCAAAGGAGAAAATTTAATTTTGATACAAACAATATCAACATGTATTTTAAACAAAACAAAAAATTATTTTCAATCAACAAAATTCAGTCTCTTAGTCGAACAGTATGTTACTGAAACTCTTCTAGCCCCCTGCTGCATGTGCAGCATAGCTAAATATGATTGATATTCAAACTATATTCATTAAGATGTGAATGGATTTTTAAAACTATATGGCTACTCCTCCCTTCTGCGTGGATCCCTGTTAATTTTCTGTCTATATTTCTGTGTCCTCTCTCTTCCACTAATTTCTCTCCCTCAATTCTTTCTATCTCAAAAACAAAGCATCACATTTTATACTTATTTTCATAACACTTTATAACAGTACAAGTTTTCTGCTAAAAACATCAGAACATAATTTAATTAATATAATTATTGCATTTAAGAACACTGAAAATGATCAAAAAAAGAATAAATAGGAGTTAAATAAATCTATTTAATTATTTAAAACGCTTTTTAAAGAGACCTTGTCCTGTGGTGTGATATCTTTGTCCTGTGGTGTGACAGTACAGGCGTCTCACCGGAGGACATTATCGGTCCCACCACAGGACGTTTCAGCCTTTTGTGTCAATTAATGACCTTGCTATTCCAAGCTAAGCTGTCATTAGCGGTTAGCAAGACATATTTGCATAATTTTCCAAGATTATGTAGTTTAACAGTTTTTAATTAAAAAAATATCATTTAGGGGTGTCACACCAAAGGACAGCAAAACATAATTTTTTTTTAAAAACACTTTCTTAAATATTTTAAACTAAAATTGACAATGTGCACGTGTCATGGGCTTCAAAAGGGGCTTCAGCTTCAACTAATTAAAGTTTACTCTGGTATTGGCCGATTTAAAATCAGGACATGGTGTCACACCGGAGGACACTGTTTTCAGAGACAAAATGTATCAAGTTCCTACGCTTTCAGAAATATATGGACAGGGCTCGACAACAGGGCTGTCAAAAAAAAATAAATAAATTGAATTTCGAATATTCGTCGAATTTAAAATAAAAATCCACATTCGAATGCAAAAACATTGCATTCGAATTTTAGGTGTGCGTCAAGGAGGCAGCCTTTAAGCCGCGGTCACACAACACTTTTCGTTCCATTGACTGTCATTCATGTGCATGTGAATGCATCAGACCAGAAACGCAAGCCCGTGTGAAAAGTTTTCGCATTTCGCTGCGTTCCAAAGTTCAAGTTTGGTGAACTCTGGCCTACGAATTTGCATGCTCAAAGTATCTTGTGGGACAGTGAAAACACCATGTCATGTCAACAACCTATATATATATATATATATATATATATAAAGACAAATATATATAAAAAGAAAAGAAAAAAAAAATATATATATACATATATATATATATCTTTTTTTTTTTTTTTTTTTTCTTCAATGAACTGAAAAATAAATAAAGTTCAATTACAAAAAGCTTAATTTTTGGACCCACAAAAGAACTGAGAGAAATCACAGCGGAAGGAACAAGGCCTTAGGGCACTACAGGTATCTTTTTCTATTTAAAAAGTGTGTTTATGAAAAAGCTTTGTCAAATGTAGGCCATGACTGTATAGAGCAGTACCTGGGGAGCAGGTTTCTGTGCTGCTTCCACTCGTGTCGAGCTCTCTGTCTCAGCCTGAGGTTGTTAAACTGCAGTGTGAGAGTGATGCCCAGCTGCAGAAGAGACAGAGCCCCCAGCAGACGGTAACTGGTACTGATCCGCGGGTCATCGCCAGCCACATTTCCCACTCTCAGCTAAAGAAAACACATTCACACGCTCACACAGATCATTTCAGTAATGTCATGTACACTATTGTTCAAAAGTTGAAAAATGTATACGTTTATTCAGCAAGGATGCAATAATGGTTCAAAAGTGACAGTAACGACATTTATAACATTGCAAAATATTTTTATTTCAAATAAAAGCTGTTTAACTTAACTTTATAAACTTAACTTAAACTTTCTATTCATCTAAGAATTCTGGGGGGGGGAAACTGTCTCATGGTTTTCACAAAAATATGAGGCAGCACAACCATTTGTAACATTGATAATAATAATAAACGTTTCTTGAGCAGCATATCAGCATATCAGAATGATTTGACACCGAAGATTGGAGTAATGATGCTGAAAATTCAGCTTTGCCATCAGATAAATAAATTACATATTTATAGAAAATGATAATATAAAAAACATTTTTCAAAAATCGTACTGACCCCAAATGTTTGAGTGGTAGTGCATTTCAGAGTAAAACAGGATATTAAGGGGAAAAAAACCTTAATTGATTTTAATGATCAGAAAGTGACTGAGTGGTGAAGAGAAGGCTCTAAACCAAACACTGCACTGATATGGTTAAAAGTAAATGCTTAAAGCAAACACTTACAGAAAAATTACCAATATATTAGTATGGCACAATGGTAATACCACAGTATTCTGTGAAGCACATTGGAGTACCATGTAAATACCAGGTGAATATTGTTATTATTTAGTACCTTAGTGTGTACTGAAGTACCATGGTACTTTGCTCCCATACAATAAGGGATGTAACATAAACCCCTACTGTACTACTGTGCTTTATTAATACAAAATTTAGGATTTTATTCCCACAATACTGATTTAATAATAATTAAAGAACAAATACTTACATAACTGACACCTGCAGCTCTTTTGCCAATGTGGTAAAAGGCTCCAGTGATGTAAAAGACGGCCACATGTAGTCTGTACAGCAGTGTGATCCCCTGCTGCAGGGCAAATACGAGCGGAATCAGAGCCTTCCTCTGGGACTCCGTCAGCATCCCTACAGCTCTCTGAATCCACAGCCGCACATGTGATAACGGCCTCCAGGTTCTGCTCGTCTGAGGTGCTTCTGCTTCCAGCTCATTCTCAATGCAGATCAAGACCTTGTCCAAAAGATAAGGCACAAACGTGTGGAAGAAGATGAGCGCGGTTCTGCGCATCCGCGAGGGGATTCTTCTCTTGCTGGGGTCCACCTGGATGATGCTGACATACTCCTCGCCCAGCGTCTGATAGCCTAAACGAAACCACAAAAGAGGGCTCTCAAATTCAACAAACACTCATATGAGGAGCACATCAGCAGTGCTGCAATGCAAGAGAATAACTCACCAGATAAAGTTGTTAAGACATAGTACGTCAGATCAGACAGTAATTCAATTTCCTTTCTCCACTGAAGCCAGCGTCTGGAACCTCAAGGGGGAAAAAAACAAAACAAAAAAATAACAGCTCTATTAAGGATTTCCCTTTTTAAAATAAAAATTCAGAACAGGATACTACTCTTACAGTGTGTAGTATGTATACTGTGTGGATTCAAAATATATAAATATTAGGGATGCACCGATATATCGGCCAATTCTTGATTATTTTAAAGCCATCGGCATATCGGAAATAGCATGAAAAGGGCCGATATCGAAGGTTTATTAATTAACTGCATGGAGACAACGAGTTGCATGTCTGTTGCATAATCCAACGTTTTTTTTCTCGTCAAAATAATTAAATTCTTGCCAAAACAAAATAAAATCTGTACAAAATGTAGTTTGTCAGACGGCATAGTATGGCCATATGCAAACGTGACGCTGACGCATCTGTAGCATTTGGACCAATCAGACACACAACTTTTTGTTAT